TCAGCGGAGGGAGAAGTCCCGCTCTTGGCTGGGGAACAATGTGGGATCTCCCCAGGAGTCCCCTCTGTAGCTCTGAGAGGGAACTGAAGAAGGGTGCACTGTGACCCCGAGGAGCCTGTCCCAAACCAGCCGGTACTGAGGAAATCAGCAGACTGCTCGGCTGTGTGGCCTGTTGGTGGCACCTCCTTTACGGTTGGCCACTGCCCCCGAGCTGCTGGGCGGGCCTGGCACGGCTGACCCTGGCGGGCAGGGACATAAGTGAACGGGCAGGGAGGCCCTTGCACCCGCAAGGTGGACTAAGAATAGTGTCACCCATCACCTCCGCTGTCTCCATCTTTTCTTTCTGTGCCAAGAGACTAGATTTTCTTTTTTTAATAATGAACCTTTTTACTGTTTTTAAATTAAACAGGAGTTTGCGTTTTCATGGGAATCTCCTTTCATTGGATGAGGTGGCCTTTGCACTGTCAGCGAGACACTGACCTGGTTTTGAAAGTAGCAGTGGGAGAGAGGGCCCTCACTCTCCCGGGGGCAGAGCAGGGACGAGAAGGCCGCCTGGCGGGCAGGGCGCCCTGGGCAGGTTCAGCCGCTGCGTCCCAGCTACCAGGCGGGATGCTATTCAGGGGCGGCGCCGGGCAGGTGAGCGCGTCGGAGAGGCCTGGACTGTGCTGGATCTGCGACAACATCGCCAGGCCCTGGGGATCCATGACTTCCTTGAGTCTGAGCCAGAGAAGGCCCCAAAGTGCTTTTCCGAGTTGGGTGTTTAATTTGGGCTGTTGCCAAGCCCGAAGTCTAGGAAGTCACTCATCTTTGAAGGCAGCGACACCCGGACCACGATGAGCATTTCCGCCCTGAGAAATCATTAGGTTTGGGGCGCAGGGTGCGGAGGTGCGGTGCGGACGCTGCCTGACCCCTCCCCCGACAGGAACCTGCGCTTCTCTGCAGAGCATTGCCGCCCAGGGCGGCTGGGAACACTTGTCCCTGGAAAGTCGGCCGTGCCCTGGCAGTGTTTGCCTCCTTACAGCTCTTCCTGTAACGCCTACGTGTTAGTGACCAGGCGTGGCCTTGGTCTGAGCAGGTGGCCCAGGCCCGGGCTTGTGGTTTGCAGGGGCCAGGGGCTGGCCCGGCCCGGGAGGCGAGGGCCGCGCACCGCATGCCCGGGACTGGGGTTTCCTTCTGTCCTGAGATCCGTCAGGGGCGGGCGAGGTGCGCTTTGTCCCACGGAAGGCCTACTTCGCTCTGTTTTCTTTTGAAACCTGTTCCACCTTTTTTTCCAAGTCGTGTTGCTTGTCAAACGCAGACGCGTTCCTCCGCCCCTCACCGGGGTTTTGGACTCTGGCTTCTGGGTGTTTGTCCATCAGATGTGCCAGCCACGCCCGTGGTTCCTGCCAGCGCCTCCCGACCTGTCCGCCCACCCGCGCCCCACGCTCTGGCCGAGAACCACCTGGCACTTCGCAGCGCATTCGCTAGGATAGGATCAACGGGTCCTGTTCGGGGTCTTGAATAAATGGCTGTTTTGATGCGAGAGAACGTGGTGGGTGTGCTTTCTTCGTCCCACTCGCCCACTGGGGCCCGCGACACCCCGATGTGTAGACACGCGCATTCTCCCCACAGGAGGGGGCCTCCCCCGCGCCCGCTGCTGGACGCGCCTGGGCCGGTGTCTGGGGCAATGAGGCCCTCAGGGGTGTGTTCGAGTGTGTTCCTTCCGTGGCAGCATTTCCGCCGGCTCTCCCATCAGAGTGAGTGATGTCCTCCTGTCCCGGGGGGTGTGGGAGCGTGGGTTCCGGGATGAACGGGGGTCGTTTGCAGAAGTCGGGGCGCGGGACGCTGGGCCTGAGTGTGCACCGCTACCCACGCCCGCTGAGCAGCTCCGTGCCCCGTGGGCCAGTGTTGCCATCCATGCGCTTTAGTCCCCGGCAGACATGTCATGGCTTTGCTAGTTAACGGACGCCCCTGCCTGTGTCAGGGAGGCGGTTGTACTCGGGACACTGAGGCACAAAGCGGTCACGGTGACATTTTCCTCCACGTGCAACTCGGCCCTGCGTGGGGGCAAAGCGCGGGTTGGGCCCTCCCTGCCTCTGTGGTCCCGGGTTGTCTGGGGTGCAGCCCGCTTCCTTCCTTCCTTCTCTTTAGCCCCGGCCCGTTGACCAAGCCTGTCCCCACGGGGTGGGTTTGGGGAGCGGTTCCCAGCAGCCCCGCCCTCCTGCAAAAGCACAGCAGGCCCAGCAGGAAGTTGTAGTGAACACGGGGCAGGGGCAGAGCTCAGGACAGCGCCTGGGGTGGAGGTGAGGGAGGGGGGCTGTGCGGTGGGCCTCAGGGCTTCAGCATGATGCTGTAACTGAACGGCTTCCCTGGGAAGTGGATGGGGACACAGACCCCCTCAGGTAACAGGACCCTTCTCTGCCGTGACTTCAACACGTTCCCTTTACCCACTGAGCTCGGCTTCATGGACCTGTTGGTGGAATGTGTCCACTCACTGAACGGAGAGTTTTTGGTTCACTGCCCACATCGCTGCGCTGTCCCTGAAGGAGATGAGGGATGTCCTTCGTGTTCACGCCCGCGGGGCTGGCTGGTGGTTACTGTGCAGGGAACCCGGGCATCACTTTGTGAGCTGCCTGGGAGGGGAGCAAGGGGAGCAGGGCCGTGCCTCTGCAAAAGGCTCAGAATGTGGTCAGATGGTCTCCCCCAGTCTGGCTCCTTTTTCTCTGAAGCATCTCATCCTCTTGGAGGGTAAGCAAGGCAGGAGGATGGGCTCCACCTGCAGGAGAGCTGGGGAGCTCCGGGGCAGGACTACCCAGAAACCTGAAGTTCCTGCTCTGGAAAACGGGGGCATTGAGTAGCAATCATTGTCCTCACTCAAAAGCCACTTACAGGTCTGGCCCGTGTGGCTAAGTGGTTAGAGCGTCGACCCACGCACCAAAGGGTCTCTGGTTTGATTCCTAGTCAAGGGCACATACCAGGGTTGCAGGTTCACTCCCCAGCCATCAGGGCACATGTGGGAGGCAACCAATTGATGTGTGTCTGTCACATCAATGTATCTCTCTCTCTGCCCCGCCCGCCCCCCTTCAACTCTAAAAATTAATGGAGCCCTAACCGGTTTGGCTCAGTGGATAGAGCGTCGGCCTGCAGACTGAAGGGTCCCAGGTTCAATTCTGGTCAAGGGCATGTACCTTGGTTGCAGGCACATCCTCAGTAGGGGGTGTACAGGAGGCAGCTGATCGATGTTTCTAACTCTCCATCCCTCTCCCTTCCTCTCTGTAAAAGATCAATAAAATATATTATTTAAAAAATAATAAAAATAAAAATTAATGGAAAAATATCCTCTGGTGAGAATTAACAACAAAAAATATGCTTCTGGAGGAAATGACTGCAGCAATGCTCTATCTTCACTATAAAATAAAATTAGCTTGAGCAGACTCATTCACAAGCCTTTTGTGTGGTGACAAACTAACCAGTCAGTTAAAATGAACCGGAGCATCTTTCTACCCAAACGACACCCCAGCTACACCTTTGTCAACCCAAACTCCTGTGTGGGTCCGGGTTCCAGAAGCTCTTCAAGAGCTCCCTCCGCAGCTCCCCCTCCTCCCCTCGTCGCTTTCATTGCCCTAAGCATCCCAGCGGTTTCTAGTACCTGCCATTTGAGCCACAACAAAACATCCCCTGCAGACAGCATCACTGGGAAGTTGCTGGAAACCAAGCACTCCCCTTTATTCGTTTGTTTGCTCCATGGCTGTCTCTTACTCACCAACTTGACACACCCACAACGCTGCTGTGTGTGCCCAGTGCCGGGGCATGGCTCAGTGTCTGGAGTGGCCATGAGTAATCACAGCCTCTCACTCATGGGCACTAGCTTCTCACTTGCATCTAATTGGCTCTGCAGAGTCCTGTGCCTTCTTCCAGCTGCAAGGGAAGCTGGGAAGGCGAGCAGCTAGTGTCTTTGCCCCTAGAGTGGGGGTGGGGCTGTGCTCCTCAGGTAGGGGGTACTCAAATAGAAGAGGCTGTTGATGCTGGGGGCAGACTGTCAGTACAGAGATCAAGAATGCAGACACCCCACATTCCTGTCCCATTGGGATCAGCTCCACATGAAGGAATGTGCGAGCTGGGCAGCA